GCACATGTCCCAACTAGTGTAGTCTATGGAGGTCAACCACTTGTTTTTTCGGTAGTAGTGGAAGTAGATAAATTTTGCTATCTGGGTAGCTACTTCTCATCTGGCGGACTCGTCACAAACTAAGCGTCGGCAGGCGAGAGAGTTCGATTGGCATTTGCGAACTCGAGACACCTGTGGGACCGTCTCAAAGACCGGCTACCTGCGATCTTTGACTCAAAAGCCTGACCCACAAGGCAGTGAGGCGTAGATCCAACGCGGGAGTGTGACCGAAGCCCCCAAGTGGGAGCTTCTAGAGACCTGTTACATAAGGTCTTTGGGTTTCGATTCAATGTGTTGTTCGCTGGTGAGTTGATTATCGGTTTCTTGCTCGGGATTGTTCCATAGTCTCATGCACGTAATGAGATAAGCAGAATGTGGAAACGACAGTACCTTATTAGCTGGAGGCGGTCCAGCTTGGGCAGGCAGTAGCTGACCAATAAAATACGAAAACTTCTTCCAACGGGGTTTTTTGACCGGTAGACTGTCCATCCCCGTGTTTATTTGTTCGAGTGAGCGTGAAGTAACAAAGAAAACCAGGTGCCCAAGCAGCTGGCCTTGTGAGACTGAGCCCCGTCTGGCCTCTACTCCTTGACCTTTCAGGTATGATTGGATCTGCGGCTGTGAGCAGCCATCCTGTATAGCTCGCAGGGTCACGGAGACACGCAAGCCATCACATCACGTTAAGGTACAGTCCCGTCGTGATGGATAAGGACTCAGAAGTTGAACGATGTAAAGGGGCTTTCAAATACCATCGAACTATTTTCTATTTACCTCCTCATCTAATTCAGCCATTCGTCCACAATTTGGTGATCATTCAGAGTGGTACTTTAAGTGCTTGTTTTACGGAGGTGTATTGCTACCATTCGTTCATGTATGGAGGATTCTCCTCTATGATAAACTTCATTATCCCCATTATTTTCATAACAATTCCCTATGGAACTAGCAGAGACGGGTTCCCATCCGTCTTGAGTAGGCTTCTGGTATGGATTATATTGGAATTCAGTTTCAGTTTCAGTTTCTACAACAATTAACAATGCACCATCGTGCGCCGGTACTGGTTGCTGTCTTTTGGCTGCCCATTTGAATGAACATGAGGAGAAAGACAGGAAAGGTTGAAAGTAGGATCGAAGAGAAAATTTAGGATTTTATTGCAATAATTTTGCAGAGAAATCGATAATGTAATTGTTATCAATTTTTCTACCTAATCCTACTCAGCCCAAACCTACAGCCAACTGCCAGAATAGGATCGTTGTCAATTCAACGGCAGGTAAATGAGGAGATTAGGCGATGGTGGTTCGGGACCTACACAACACATACACATCGAAAAGATAGTGGTCGATCAACGTCGCATAATCCTAACATGATGAACGACTTTTGGCGACGGTTGTCAACGGTTGCTACGATATCGCTTCGGAGGCTAAATTCAAATCACCACCGCCGCCACTCAACGTTCGACCTTCCTCCTGAAATTTGTCGGTACGATGGTATATGCAATAAAAGGAAGTGAACAGATTGAGAGATTAACAAGACTGGCAGATAATTATAGCACATAAATATTGGGTGACACTAACATAGAAAAGCAAACAAGAAACGCAGGTCCTGTATGTAAGCGATCACCTGACGCGTAATGGGAAAATATCACATAAAAAGGGATAAAAAAAACCATACACTTACTGCCGAAACACAAGGGGTGGTATGTGCTGGCAAGAGAAGGTGAAGCCTGTGCATTGTAGTTGTAGTACTTGTACAAGCCTCCAGATGGCCTATTTCTGAAGCCGACAGAGGCTGTTGTGACAGGCATTCGACCGGGTACGTGAATAGATCCACTGGAGGCCGTAATGACTTGACCGTCCGCGTGGCGAGAAGGAGAAGAATCAGGTCGACATGAAGAAGATGAGAGGGAATGCTCGCGCATGAAAAGCAAATGCGGCGCGGATACCGGTGGATGAAAGGGACTGGGAACCACAGCATTTGAATTGGAAAACGCTGGGGAAGTACCAGGAGCAGGGGAAGATGCAGCAACAGGGAAGTGTCGCCCGGACGCATCCTCAGTCGCGTGAACTACGTACGCTGGACCCGAACCCGAGACGGACACCGATGAAGGACGACGATGTACATCACATTGCCTTATATCATTTGCCCCAAGTGAAGAGGCTCGATGTATGGCAGAGGAAAATAGAGACTCTGGTGTATTTGACACCCCAGCCCTGATTGCGGAAGCCGATGTCGGATGCAATTTGGAACGGCTGGCTCCAGGACAACCAGTAACTACACTGGAACTCAGCATCCCACTGCCACTGGAGCTGACCGATAGCCGATGGTGATAATGAGTGGAATGTTTTGCGTCTGTTCCTTCGAGCATCCCTGAGTTCGCTTGGACCGATTTACAATCGGAACGAACCACAGCCTCTGAGGAGATGGGGGAACGACCACCACTACGAGCACCACAACGGGCTGGCTCTCCCGGAATACCAATCGGCGAGCGATTGCGAGACTGGGAACCGCCACGAATATCACAGAACCGCTTGATCGCACCGGCTGAGCATGAACTCCAGTCAGAATTCTGGCAGAAACAAAAGCAGTTTAACAAAAAAGATGAAGCCTCCCAAGAATAGCTACATTCTGTAGATTGTATTGCATGATTTACTTACGCTTCAGTTTAAAACGATTGCTCAAAAGTAATAAGGCAAAATCATGCTTTCATTTGCGTAAAGAAATGGATGCGATGAAAATTGTGGATTTCAAAACTGGCGTTTGATTATTTCTGACTAAATAGATTCAATGAAAACCAAATAATTTCTCTCAAAGGTAAACAGTTCATATAGCTCGAACCTAATTCTGGAAAAGAAAACGTACTACTCAATCGGGCCTCTGTTAAGACTGACGTTTTACTATAAAAATAAGAATCTTTAGATATGTAATGGACTACTAACAACAATATATGATCTACAGTTCGATGTTTAAAGGTTCATCATAAATGGTGGACTCAATAAACTGGGGATCGTGCACGAATATGGAGAATGATCAGTCCCAATCAATGGTTGAACAGTCAACCCCTGAAACTATAATTGACGTCAGTGTATCGCGCAAGAACTCAGTTATTGCTACCAATAGAAATTTGATACGATGCAATCAACCTCCATGGACGCTAGAATTTCACCATACAACTATTGTTTCTATCCAATGAACACAAAAACAATGAAATAGGTACCAGCGCCAGATGTTTGCCCCGCGCAACTAAGCCCTCTTTCGGTTTCTCCTCTCGTCTATCAACTTGGAATCATTAAATATAGAACAAACAAACTCTTCACCAATAGTTACTTGCAAATGGACGCCACTAACGATGTTGTATACGCTTCACCGACTGAGCTACAAAGCCTTGCCCGCAGCTTAAATCTTTTCACGTAAGATTACTCGCCTCTAACGGTATAAGGGCTCCAACAATTGACAGGCGAACTGTCTCCCTCGGTAGAATTTTTCAGTAACCCCCATTCATTTTGTCATAAAGATCCATTGAATCTGGACTGAAGAACATGGATAGAAAGATAGTTGAACGCAAAATCACGTTGGTGAAAGACTAGATGAGTGAACCAGTTGCATATTGGAGTAGCTTTACCATGAGACTGCGGAAGATCCAAAAACATTCTTTTAGGAAACCAATGAGTGGCTATTCATTTTATCCTATGATACGATTAAAATTAAAACCCGATTGAATGTCAGTGCAAATAACAAAGTATAAAAAGCGAATGATTTATTTCATGAGGCAGCAACCGATTCCCTAGTTTTATTCACTCAAATAAGACATTAGGACTATCCGGTAAAACAGTACCGTAAACAGTCGACTACCGAAGAAAAACTCTGTTAGCCAAAAATATGAGTATTTGGATTGTTTCGTAAATTTACAGTTTGCTCACTCCGCAGTGTCCTGCTTCGATACCATTATCTTCTGTCTCAGTTTTATGCTGCTGATCTCTCTAACATAAGTCTACACCTCGTTTCCATTACGGGCAGGGTGGGATATTTCCGAAAGAACAAAAAACCAACAAAAAATGAATCCTTGTTTCGGAGGAATTACCCAATGGGGTGAAAGTTTCAACATTAATGGGTTGAATCTATTTTTCGTGCCATTGTAGGTTCGAATAACAAAGCAAAACTCCACCTGCAAAGAACAGCAGTTTGCTTCTCAACTCAGCAACCCTCTTCGGGAAACACCTTCACGTGGTATAATTATTTTTCCTACAGAACGAAAGGATGAGTAGTACAAATCCGGGTGAGTGAGCCATCGGCAGATCACCAAGAGTTGACCCAAAAAACTGATCTCAAACCAACCAAGAGGTCAACGAACCGCACCCACACTTTCCGGGTTCTAACACTGGCTACTGACTTGATTGAGTGTACGGGGCACATTAGACGTGTGGCCCCCGACCAAAAGACGTATGATTCAATGGGCTGGATACTGGACACAACGTCACAAGCTTTACACACTGTCCCGGTGCTTTGTGAACCAGAAAATTCACCTGTCTGGGCCTGAGGAAAGTGAGTTTGAACTATACGGTTCTGTTTGCTGGTCGAAGGTCGAGTTTGTGCAGATGCAGTGAGACCAGATGTATTTTTGAATTTTAAAACAGGGACAAGATGCGTGTAACATGTACAGCTATTGACCAAACTCGTGCAACACCCTGATGTTCATCACATCTGTTCCTCTCATTGCTTCGTTTTCCAGGCCCATCCACGGGATTGGATATGATAGTGTCTCACATCAGACGTAACATATCTGATATAATACCCACTTATGTCTTTGCTTCTATTAGTCACATGCCATTAAAATGTACGATTTCGCGATTTTGACGATGGTTGCTGGTGCATCAGTTGTGAAATCACAAAGTCACCGTAGAAAACGTTACTAGAATTTATTTATTCAAATGACTCATAGACTTCGTACAAGTAGTGTGCTTCCATCTCGTTCATGTTCCATTTGCCCTTCTACATTTGTAACCACTTGAGACAATCACTTTAGCATAGAACCCATCAAACAAACAGAATTCACCAGTTTCTCTGGTAATCCCCGCAACCTCACCATTGACGACCAATGTCGAAGCAGCTGACTTATCCCTGTTTCTGAAACAGTAAAACGTTTTCGATCAAATTAAAATTCCAGCTGCTGCGCGGTATTTGAATGAATTTGACACCTCCAGAGACTGAATAAATGTAAAAAAAAATATTGAATTAGGTCTAACCGTTTTCTACTTCGAACCGCAAGCGAAAAGACGTAACAACCTTCGTCCGTGAAAAATATGATTTCCGAGTATGCATTTAAAGAGTAGCAGTTACCGAAAACCTCCCTTATCAGTGCAAAACATTCTGCGATATCCAGATTTGTGTATACAGGAGACCAAGAACGAGGCACTCGGTATTTACTTCCGTCCTAACTCGTCAGGCGGGATGAATATTTACTTCTTTTGACAGGTGAAATGAAGTTCATTAGAAAACTAGCTCAGTAGATCAGCTTTCACCATATGCTGAATTACGTGTTGGCTACCAGTAAGGTAAGCCCAATGCCAAATGGATGGGCAATGCGATTAGAATTTATTAGTAAAATCAATGCATGCTCTGCTTTGGGCGTTCAATAATGGCTTCATATCACGCGGCCTCAGCTGCACGTTAAATTGAGCCATCATTTTCCAAACGAGAGCGTGATGAAAAAACGATTATTCTGCCCGGACTACCCTTCACGTTGGTTGTGTGCAACTCTTCTCAGCTGCGATCGAATACAACCATCGACTTGCTTTGACATGATCCATTTTTTCTTTCTCCGTTTGTCTTGATGGAGAAATTTCGTTGAATATGTTCACATCGAAGCACTTCCACTGGACACCAGCTGAGTCATCGGATTTATGTACCTCTAGGCTTTAATTACATGCGAAAACCGTTCGAATGTTTCATCCGGTTTGAGTATGGTGACAACAAAACGCTTATTCAACGAGTCTTAAGGTCCACTTTTGAAGATCAATTTATATGTTTTTTGGACTATGTTTTTAGTTATTTCAGTATTGTAGATAATATGTGAGTAGTTTGCAGCCAAACAATTTATCAATTTATTTAAGCTAGAATATTTTCATTAATTTGCTTATTTACCGTGGACTGGAAGAAAAGAGACAAGCAATTTAGAATGCATGGGCTCAATTTAATAAACACTCATGGAACAGGAATCATCTATTAAAAATAATGAATTGCCATGCTGCTTCGCTCAAAATATTTTCCAAATCTGAGCTGTAATTTTCGAACTACTACAAATTTTATCGAAGCGCTCAAGGTCACGCAAATTTAAACGGTGACAGAAGAGAACTAAGAACATAGATCTGGGAGATAAGATCAGAAATAAATACATTTTACCCATAACCATCAATGTACAGGTATGATATTGGAGACTGAAATGTATTTTCAAAATGGGAGTGATGTTGTTCGAGTTTGGTCAACACCTGTATATTGGTGACAAAACAGATAAATATTTAGAGATCAGGCGTACGGTTACACAAAGAAGGTTGAGAAGTGATAGAACCGAGATGCATGAGACAATCATCACTTACATATATAATTGGACCTTCATGATGGGTATGATTCACAGATGTGACTAACGAACTAGATAAAACTTAGTTCATGGCCTGATAACAAGTCATAAAAATTTCAAACCGGTTGTGCAAATAATGTGTGCAATTTGTGACCGGCTACACCGATTGATATGAGATAGCGTAAATTCTGTTGAATTAGACATTTGGTTTTCTTATAGGACCGATCGCGGGCAAGAATCAAAAATGAATTCCGTGTCAGAACTAAAACCAAAATGAATCTTAACGTATGCATTCATTGATTACTATTAACTCATTCATCTCAATTTAGACAGAAATGAAACACTCGATGGATTACACAGGATACTACACTTCCCACAGCTCACTCCGCGAAGTGAATGTAATTCAAGAGAATGCATACTCATTGAAAACTTGTGTGTATGTGTGCTCGCACGCCAAAACAGGAACGGACTGTCTCTATAAAGCCGGAGGAATCAATAGCGCATAAAACATTAGTGGATGGGTCCTAGCCTCATTCTTGTGGTTCGGAATTTGCTCTGGGGAAATTGACACAATGTTCCTTGGAAATTAGAAGTTGCCCAGAGTGAGAAATCGTAGTTAGCCGTCAGTAGAAAGTAAACCTGTGAACAACCGAAATAAAAATTGACTTCGAAAATTATGAAGTTGGGCTATCTGCAGACAGGGTATTTTTCAGGGTAAACTACCGTCGGTACCCAATTCGGGACACGTATTTCATCATAATCAAATATTTGAAAAGTTTGGATATTTGTAAAGAATAACTTTATAGTGACAAGATGCTCATACCGTTATGAAGTAGAATAGAAAGTGTATATTTTTGGCTAAATAAAAAGCAAGGGCATTGGTTCAACGAATGCTTTATGGATGAAACTGACTATTTGGTGAGGAATATTTCACCCAGATTTATCGATAGTGCCTCCAAGCTCCGAGGGTTAGATTAGCGTCCGAGGTTGAGACCGAAGTAAAAAAACAGGAGAAAAACTGAAAACGTCATCCGAAAGTGAGGCCGGCGGTATCAGGGGATTAGTCAGCTGCAAATGATGGCATTTCGACTCATAGAGAGATCATTCAAGACTAAACCAAGATGCATAAAACAATGCGCTAAAATACGTGGAAAAGTAGACTAGATCAGTGGGAACGATGAAGATGAATGATGAAGAAAAACGGACACCGATAATAATAGGCCGAAGACATGTTTCTGTATCGTTGCGACCATGAACTAGTTGAGAAACGGTTGAAAGGCTGATCGAAAGCAACAGTTGATGGATTTCGCGTTCAGGCGACGATGAACCAAGTTAGTCTAATAACAGCAAATGCAGTAGTTATTTATACTATTATGAATTTGTTTTTCTTCAACTAACGCAGACTACAAAAACGTGAAATGGCACAGCGGACTGCGCAAACGATGAATGAACGTCCATTCGTTTATATTAAACGAGGAAAATATCCAGGCTACATAAAGACCAGGTTGAGTGTGGACAGACATCCACACTGAGAGACCTGATCGTGTGAGGCAGTGAAGAATGTCGGAGGTATGAATAAGATTCCAGTTGCATGAATGCAAATGAGTGAACCACGATGTGGACCCCTTGCACGAGGATGAATAAACACCGAGATTTCAGAAATACATGCATACATATTCACCCAATGACTGAAACACCAACAGGTAAACCAGTTTTCTTTTTCGAGGGCCATGGTTTTTCAAAAGAATCACCAAGAATATTCCAAATTTATGCTGTGGGCTCGTAACAAACCTTTTAGGAGAGTTGATATGTTGTCTTAAAGGATTGTGCATAACCAAGCGTAAGTAGGAGTCTTGGATACTACGTTGTACCGGAAACCAAGCACCGCCAAACCGAACGGGTGAAACTTGCGCAGATAGCTTTGCTGTCGCCCGGTTCTATAACACGTCTGACCTAGCGGGACCTAATGTGGTTCTCCAAGTAACAGGGCTTAGGTTGCCGGTTTCCATCACTGAACAGCAGGTCTTCGTGGCTATGGGGTTCACCCCGTCTGCTGTTCATCACAAGCCAGTATGTAATAAACAAAATAAATATTGTGTTCAAATAAATTCAGGTCACATTACAAATTAGTCCAAAATACAGTGCCTCCATTGTGATCTCCTCGGCGGTTCATTTTAACATACTTCGTGAGATTTTATGGAAAAAACATTCATTTTAAAGCATTTATTACGAGCTACCTAGCACTTTGATGATCTAACAAACAGTGATGCTTCATCGAGCTAACCGCATCCGCATAAAATAATCACTACAGTAGTTGATTTCTGATATACAACAAAAATCAGCATTTAAACGACCCCATAGGATGGCTAACGCGTATTAAAGACTTCAACGACACTGGTAAGACTGCACTTGTGCGATGATCAGGAAAAAATTGACGCACAAAATAAAACCTAGCAGTTATTCCATGATGATAAAAGCCGATTCTTTTCTGAAGAACCAAACTCGCGAAACGTGTTCATCGTATTGTATTATGATCAAAGGACTTGAAAATAATACTAAATACACTTATATTAGCTGATGCTGATTGCATCCTAATCCACAGAGAACGAAAGTGAGTGGTTAATGCAGTACTCACGAATTCGCAAACAAATGCATTTTAAAATTTCACTTATGTACCACTTCTGTTTGTGTATCACTCATTTGAATATAGCGGATGGTGATAGACTGCAAGGGTCAGTCCTGAAGTGATCAACAAGATTAAAATTCCAGTACAGAAAACACCGCACTACTCTGAAACAGCAAAGTTGCCCACAGTACACACGTAGCGACGGTTGTTTGAGCTGAAGGAATGCGATGCAGAGATTTTTTCCCGGGAAAACGATACCTAGTTCTAGTTTGTATCAAGTGCTGATCCCCCGCCGGCTTAAAGTTGGTGATTAATCAAATAGTAAGTCTTTGTGAGAGAAAATAGGCAAATTAGGCCCGGTTAGAAATAATTTTCGCGCCCTGTAGAAAACATACAAAAATGGGAAGTGTTCTTTATAATGTGCAGTTGTTGTGCGTTAATCCTTAATAAAACAGTGACTTTGATACCACTGCAGTTTCAATGAATTAGGCAACAGTCACATGTCTATCAGCCTTTCAACCATCGCAAGATCACATTAGGTTAAACGAAATTAATGCAATTTGCATGAGCAGGTGTCACGTACCGCATCCAAACCGGATGGTAGGTATTCCGACAAGGGGCGTGAGGTTACCGGGCCATCAGTATGTGACCGGAGTAGTGACGGTGGAGAAGGAGTATGTCGATTAGAACAAAAGATAGAACTGTTTGAGGAATTCGAGAAACTAGTCGGCAGAGCAACTGAGGCACGATGGCAGGCATACCAAGCCGGATGATAAGGACCAGGAGGACCAGGAGTAAGGTGAAGACTGCGTGAGCGAAGGCAGAGGCGTAGACGAGTGCGTAATTGCATGCCCATTAAATCCTGGGCAGCTTCCATGGACTCTTCGCTTGGTGAGTCGTCTGTAAGAGCAGCACACACTGACAGACGATGTCCAATTGGAAGACTTGACGATATTGGGAATGGATCAATCGGAGGATGAGACAGTTGTAAATGTTGCATAGGAATCATATGCGGCACGGGTGGACTAGTGCTATGCTCCAAAGAATGTGCTTTAGGGAGAAACCGTTTTGCCGAGGAATCCCTACTGCTATTCGCACTGCGGTTCATTGTCAAAAACAGCACTTTTCTGATAAACTGGCGTGGTAGAAGAATACAGTTACATCAGACGGATTGTTCGGTTGCCTGACGATTTATACCGATGGGCCAAAGAAGCCAGTTTTCACAGTGTCCAAAAAATCCTGCACATAGCGACAAAATCATCAGAGCGCGGAAGAGAAAAGTTATCGAATGGATCATGTTTCCATGAGGCCGTCACCTTCAGATATATGCGTGAGCACGCGCACAGACAAGCATTGCGGATCGATGATGTGTAACTTGCAATTAACCAGTCAGGCTGATTGAGCGGCGACTTATGTGTTTATACATTCGTGCCTGTCATGAGCACAGAAGAGATTTGTGCGTGTGTGCTTCAAGAAGCGGGTCCATTAGTGTAGAGTTGCCGGTGAACCTTGTGTGTATACGTATCGATTGTCTTAGCCATAGGCGAGTAAACAGGCAGAGCACACTGTTCGACAATACAACAGCAGCGCACGCAACACAGACCACGAGCGACGGCAAGACATGTGTGTCACGTGATGAACAACGATGACCACACTTATCAGTTAGCTCGGCTACATGTGGACAGATTAATCATTTACGGCGGATGGGATGAACGAGATGTATATCAAAAAGCAAAGACCATGTCAGCTACTAAACCCGGCCGAGGAAGACAGAATGACATCTGATAATACCTTTTCTACGAGACTAAAAATTCATCAGTAAAGAAAAGAAAGTAGCAGTGAGAATGGCGAGGAGGTAGCTAAGTACTGAGTAGCACTTTACCAAAGGTTCCGCCAAATCTACATCCGAAAAACTGACAGCTAGGTCAGAAATAGTGAAACCGGAGGTTTCCTAGATTACCGAGTAACAAAGATCTTCATTGCGTATCAACAAACGCCAGAAGAACCCTGTGAACAAACTTCCAGTGAACTCAAGACCTAAAATTGGTAAAATATCCCTAACAGAAGATAAAATAGCAGCCAAGCTAAGCACATAGAAGTGGTGAAATAAAGATTCTCTCGTCCCACTGTTGCAGCGTTAAATGAGACTGCATACTCTACATCGCGAGGTTGGAACATGGAGTAATGTGATTAGGAAGAAAAACTATAAATCAGACCAGATCCAAGCTGCCCTATGGATATAAATCAATAAATCATTATCAGTTCAAACCACTATTAGTTGCTTGTTGCTGCTCTCTTCTTTAATGTGGATCATTTTTCGAACGTTGAAAACGCCGTATTACTTTAACACCCATCGACCCAAACAATGAGTTTTCTTCTCGACTTAATCGATGTATTGAAAAATAAAAATCAAAAATTAGGACTACATATTCGATTGAATGTTGGACACTAATCCGCACAGACTGGTTCTTTATCTTGAATGATTTTTCAACTGTCCTGTTTCCCAGTGATAACAATGATGAACAAAAGAACATTCATTCGATCTCATCTTCGTGAGATATTAGTCTATTCTAGTATTGGCGAATCTGACCGCGATTACCTTCCGTTGGAAAATAATTGATTCACTCGACTCCATATTGACTCAAATTGAACCTGCACCGCAACTCGAATACTGCCGTCCACGTTCTGATGCACCACGTAGGATGAAACAATCTAATAAACAAAGCATAAGCTGGATAGTCAGAATAATGCACTGATGCAGACACTTGAACCTCAAGTCGAGATGGTTGGCACAATCACTGCTCAAACTGTTAACTTCCTTAGAAAGCAGATTTGTTGCGACCAGTGGTGCAGGGAAAAGAGCAAAGGTGAATCACGTTTGCCAGTCATCACACAAATGTGTATAATACAAACGGGTTCATTTTCTTTGCCATCTTCAAATAAGATCCAATCCCTGTCCATCTTTTACATTTTCCCATGTTTTGTGCACATTTTAAGCTTCGTAGCGAACAGCGAAGTTTGCTTCACTGTACAGTGGTAATGATGATGATGATCTACATTCGACACTTCCCTTTGGCTTCGAAAAACTCAGGCATGTATCAGCGGTCATCGTCCGGTCGACCGCTCAACGAGCGAGCTAAATCAATATGCGGGAAATCGGAGCGAAAAAGTGCAGTATGTTAAAGCGAACAAGATCTAGTACTGAATTCATCGGTTACAAAGACCTGAAAACAAAAGTATGTGGATTTCTCTTTTGCATTGACATCCATAGAATAGAGAACGGGCTCACTAAGAGTAACCGACAAGGAAACATTACAACTGCTGTCTTACAGAACGCATGTGACTGAGGCAAGGCGACAAATGAGCCCATATAGCTGGATGCGACCACTGCACCAAATTTCGCGAAAGCAGAAATATACTCATGAGAGCAGCGTTTCTCTCCAAAGACAAAAGAGAAGTGTATATTACTATCGGAATCTCCCATTCAGTGGTTTTATTTCATCATCATCATCATCATCATCACCGTACAGCGAAATACCGTGAAGCGAACTTCACTGACCGCTGCCAA